GGGGGGGCAGGATGCGAAACCTCAAAAGGAGTGGGGTCTGCAGATGGATGAAGCCTGGATAGAAATCTGCATGTCTGACTGTGAGAATTTGGGCTGAGATTGGACTTCCACTTCAATAATGGATGGATGATATCTCTTCATGGGGCTCCTTGAAAGAGATGCAGAGGTGGAAATCACGAGTTCAGAGGATTCTCTCCCCAGAGAAAGGCGACGCGGAGGAGTTTGCCCACAAAGACCCAAAATCCTCACCAAGTTCAAGGGGGGCAGCCACCATCAAAGGTGGGCAAAGGCAGGATCAGGGAGACCCCAGGAAACTCCCACTCAGAGTAGCCATGCTGCCTTTAAGGACAGTAAGCCTTTCTAAGTATTGGACTTCTTTAAAAGCATCTCTATTTTTCTTCTTCTTTCTTTTTCTTTTCATTCTGCAGTTTTCTTTTCCTCTGTTTTTCTTTTCATCCTGTATGTTTTGTAGTGTTAATTTTTTAAGTGTAGTTGGAAAACATTAGAGAGAAGGAAAGAAAAAAGGAAATGGGCTGAGGACAGCTGGCTCAAAATGAAAGAAATGGCCGCCCAAGTGGCTGGAGGATGCTTCCACCCCCACCCCAGAAGGTCCTTCCAGTGACCGAGAGCAATGGCCACAGAGGAGCAGAAGATGCCCATGGACGCGGAGAGCAAGAAGGCTTTGGTCCAGACTGAAAGGGTGCCTTGCCTGGCTTTAAATAAACGCACCAGAGCAGAGGCACCTGCCACCTGCGTGACCTGGCTCTGCACCTACCAGCAGCCACTGACCTGTGAAGAAGGGCCCTCCTGGGAAGGTGGCCAGACCTTCCCACCCTTCCTTTCTGCCTCCAGTTTCCCACAGTGTGGCGGAACTGGGCATACTGGGAGAAGCCCTGGGGAACTCAGGCCAGATGGACGGCCTCTGTGGTACACGCAGGTCACCAAGGAGGTTTAAGCCTCTTGGACTCTGGCTTCCATCCTTGAGGCCTGAGGACATCAGAAGGGCCCTGAAGCCCTCCTCCCAGCTCTGTGCTCCCACAGTGGATGACCAGCTGCCCAACAGGCCAGGAGGGCAAGCGCAGCCTCCCTCTTGTGGTCCGAGCAGCCGATGGACTCCCCTTGCCCTTGGAGGTACTGGAGGCGACCAAGATAGCCCCCCTGACTAGTGGCCATTCATAAGCCCTCCTCTCTTCCACGAAGGCAGCTGGACCCTTTAAAAAGCCACCTGAGTTGCCTGCCTGTCCTTTGTGGCGGTGAGTTCCACAGGGTAACCCTTGCTCTGTGGGAAGGAGCACTAAGCAGGGTGTTTGGCCAGGGAGCTCCTCTCCATCTGCACTGACTCCTAAACCATTGGGACCCAGGGGCCTCCTCTTCCTCCCAACCGGTCAAAGGGTCAAAGCGCAGAGACCGGAGGTGACTGACCGGAGAGAAGGTGCATGTGGTGGATGGGGTCCATCCAGAGCCTTGGTGGGAAAGTCCTCCTTTTGTGATGCACCACCAAGACCAGCTGCTCTGCAAATGGGGAGCGGGAGCATCCTTCAAGGTGCCAACCAAGATGGCATCCCTTCTGCTCTTGGCCTGGGGCCACAAAGGACTGCCAGGGCCTGGGTCCCCCTCTGGCCCCGTGGTTTGGGTCTGGGTCCCCCTTTGTCATTTCCACCCCCCAGGAAAGGTTCAGAGCCCAAGCTCTTCCCAAAAGGGC